ACATTCGCTATCTAATCGATAACAAGAGAAAGGAAATAGACACCATCTTGGCACTAGCAGCCCGTAGCACTGAGTATGAGCCTCGTGAACGCTTAGAACCAAGCTTTATAAAGCAGCTAGGTAACGCGCAGGCTGAGGTCGATTTCTCTACTAGTGAGAGTACAGTGGAGACACTGAAGGCCTTCGACGAACTTAAGGAGTCTGCCAGCCTTAAGGATAAGCAGATGATGAATGCCTTTATTCATTTCTGTGAGTCAGAGGAATGGAAAGCTAACTTGAAGGCCCATGAGCCCAACTGGAAAGCCCTACCCTGGCGCCAGTTGCGTGAGAATATACTTAACGCCTTCTTTGAAGATGCACGTGACCGTGAACTTCTAGAGTCTCGCAAGTCCTTTGCGAACGATACTACCACTCGAGATGCTCTAGCTCATATGACATATATGAACACTCGGATGGGAGGTCGTACCTATACTGGCGAATATTTATTAATTTGTTAGATGATGGAGACTCTGGGGGCTAACCTTTTTAAGAAGGTCAATGATGATATCATCGCCTATGGTGATTTGCGATCTATGCCTTGGTCTGTCTTTGAGAAGATAGTTCAAAAGCATACCAACCCATCTACTAGAATACTTAGTACCTCGAGCTTTACCCAGCCCGCTAAGCGTACCGCGATAGAGAATAACACTGTGCGTAATATTAAGAAACCTCGCACTACTGCTGGAGGTGGTAAAGGCTCTACTTCTACTGAACCAAAGGGTGAAAGGAAGGAGAGAGCACCTTGCAAGAAGCGTGGTTACAACCTCACTAAACGTGATGGCAAGTGGAATGGTAAACACGACTCTGTTAAGTGTGCACCAGGCAAGCCAAACTTTGGACACTATATGAAAGAATGTACTACTTGCAAGGGTACTAACGGTTGGCACAAAGATGATTGCAAGGACATACCGGACGTCCAAGTTAAGCACTGACAGTTCCATATGTGTGCACTAGAGCAAGATTATGAGAAAAAGTTCAATAAAATCTATACCAAAGGAGATGAACGTATATTTCAAACCGTTTATGTAAATGGAGAAAAAGTTATAGCACTTTTTGATCCAGGGGCTGAAGTCTCTGCTATCTCACGCCGAGTAGCCTACGCTACAGATATGGCTATCCATAACGAAACAACTAATTTAATCTTGGGAAATGGCAAAGTTACCACTTGCGAAGAAGCCATTGACTATGCACACATAATGTTGTCAGATAGAAAAGAAGTAAAGACTCACCTAATCGTTACTGACATGTCTCATAAATCCGATTTAATTATAGGTATGACAGATCTTCTCAGTTTAGGTATAACTCTCACTGGTCTGCCTAATGGGCTAGACCCAAATAAAGATCAGTCAGATGATAACATGTTAAAGATATTTAAACCTCCGGAAGGTGAAGCAAAGGATATGATCCCGCACTTTACCGATATAATTATGGACTTAATTATACAAAACAGAAAGATTGCAATAACCGACTGGTGTATATTTAAGTTCTCTAACGGGTACGTTAAGCTTGACTTAACAAACGTCGACTTCTCTAAATTAAAGTGTCCTTCACATAACCACGTAAGTTGGAGACACAAAGACGTTGTCAAAACCAAAATTGACGACTGGTTAAAACAGGGTCTAATTGAAATCAATTATGATGCAATCCCAATTGACTTAGCTCTCTTAGCGGTCGATCAATATAAATTTGATGGAACGTTTAGTAAAACAAGACCTGTCGCCAATCAACAAACTAATTCCGCAACATAGTTTTCCCTTACCAAAGATAAGCGAGATACTACGCAAAATGGAAGGTGCGACTATCTTTTCCAAGGTAGACTTAAAAGCTGCATTCCATCAATTACAAATATATGAGCCGCATAGGAAATACTTTTCCTTTGCTTTTCAAGGTAAGAAGTACCAGTTTAAAGGTGCACCTGAAGGCTTACACATGTTAATTTCTTTCTTCCAACATGTTGTGATGGAACTATTTGCGGACCTGTCGGATAACGTATCAGTATATTTAGATGATATAGTTATCTTTACAAAGACAGCACATGAACACGCTAAACTCGTTAAGAAAGTCATAAAGCGACTAAACCATGCCAGACTTAAGATTAACGAGGACAAGTGTTATTTTGCTAAAGATGCTATACACTTACTTGGTTACAAGGTATCTGCAGCAAAGGTAGAAATTGATCCTGGCAAGAAACAATTTCTGTTGGATTTACCAACACCGATTACTGGAAGAGATGTGAACTCTGTGTGTGGGTTTGTTAGCTTCTTCTCGGATTCGGTACCTCATCTTTCTCATTACTTAAAGCCTTTCAGTCACCTACGGCTGCACAAAGGACCTTTGGGAAAGCTCTGTACTAATGAATGGGATGATGTATCTAAGCTAGTCAAAAGTAAAGTAATGGACGCACCCATCATGCAATACCCTGTGGATGGCGTCTCATTCCAAGTAGTAACCGACGCTTCAGATCGAGCG